ATCATATTCAAAATGGCCGAATGGTGGTCATTTTTGTGCTAAAAAATCATCAAATATCAAGCATTTCTGGCATTTATGGATGGATTTCAGTCAAACTTGGTACATTAGACATTACTGGTTCCTGATGCACATCATTTTATTTGTCAGATTGGATTCAAAATGGCTGACTGGCGGCCATTTTGTTTTAATGATTGGGCTTCTAGAGCCATGTCTCTTAAATGCTTTGACTGATTATGTTCAAATTTTATATATTCGTTATAAATCATGTTGTATATATACATGTATTCAAAATGGTTGATTTTGAATGCTGTTCCAGAGCAATATCTCTCAATATGGACAAGTACTTGTTTGACGAACAGATACAAATGTCAATCATTTTAATGTTAAAAAATCATATTTCTGACATGGTTATATTCCAGCTATATTACTATAAACAAAACTATATATCTTAAATTTGATAACTAACGGGGACTGTGCCATGCATGGCTTGTTTTTTTTTAAATGTGATGTTTCTTTCATTTTTCCTGAAATCCTAATAAAAATCTGAAAAAGAGCTGTGGCACGCATATTTTAACTGACATGTGTCAGAGAAACAATAATATGGTCATTAACCTTTTGGAAGATGACCACATTCATACTGACTATTCATGAAATCTTTACTTTAATGAATGATATAATAAATTATAAGAATAAATATTGAAGTTATGAACCAAATTCCCCAAAACAAATTGTGGTAATGTGTTCAGTGTTAAGATCAGGTTTTTTTGGACATTTTAGAAAAAAAAGAAATTTCATTATATTCTAAATTATTGAAATATGATTTATTGTGTGCATGTTATTCATGGTGCATGCACTGGTAATAGCACAAATGCATCATTACTTCAAGTTGTGCGATAACTTTGTGATAAAGTCACAAAAACAAATAGTTTACAAGAGCTGGTCAATGAGGGCGCTGTTTTCAAAAGTCGGAGCTTGAAAGGCTGACTGTGTTTTTATCACCAGCAATACATGTACAATGTCAACTCTCATTATTTTACCTTGCATATGTCAAACCATTAAATATAGAAGATTATATAATTCCGGTTTAGTGGAAATTTGATTGTCGTGTGCTAGATTTGTCAAGTCTAATGAGATTTTCTTCTGACTTATGACTTTATACACCATCCAACAAGTTGCCAAAACTTATGTATACACAATATTTGTGAGCTGCTTTATTAGTCCCCGTTCGAATGGAATCCGAAAACGGGGACTTATAATTCAGTCTCTGTGCATCCGTCCGTCAGTCCATTCATCCGGAGTCATGCAGTGGTTTAGCTATTCAATTCAAAATGGCCGAGTGGCAGCCATCTTGTTTTTTGAAAATGTCTTATTTTGGACATGCTTTGTCAGTTTTCATTCAAACTTGGTACATAGATTATACATGTTAGGATACATGTCCATGACGATTTCTTGTGCAATTGGATCAAAGATGGCCGACTGGCAGGCATCTTGTTTTGTTTTTTATATGCGGTGTCTTGGACATGCTTTGTCAGTTTTCATTCAAATTTGGCACATACTTTATACATGTTAGGATACATGTCCATGACAATTTGTTTCAAAATCTGATCAAGGATGGCCGATTGACACCCATGTATCATTTTCATTGATATTTAGCATGTCTTAAATGGATACATGAACATGTCAATTCAATTTGCAATTTGATCAAATATGGCTGACTGGCTGCCATCTTGTTTGTTTAAAATGTGATAACTTGGACATGCTTTCACTTGTGATCTATGTTTTATGTCTTAAACCGGAGGGGTCGTCACGGAACACGTATTTTGATGTAAATAAACAATCTGTCGTATACGCCACTTGGGACTCAAGTTTAAAGGACACGCTCGCAACAACCCCTCCGCTTTAATGTGGCGAGCACAAAGAGAACTTTCAAAAATTTAACAGGGACTGTGTCATTTTCAATGACTTGTTTTTTTTAAGTTTCGTGAATTTTGAAACAATGAAATTTTGAGGCAACTTTCATAGGAATGTGTAAGACAGCAAGTCACACTACAGTGACACCTGTAAACACATTGTTCACTGGTTTTTAATTTAGCGATTGTTGAAGATAAGAAAAATCTGCTACATTAAATCCATATTTAAACACGTAAAAGAACAATATAACAATTTTTTTCATGCCATGTTTGTGAACTTAAAACCTTGTGAAATTGCTCAAAACATCAAAATAGTGAAATTAAATTCCAGTGAAAGTAAATGGTTATACAGTATCATGAATCTTCATCTCCATGAGTGCTGTCAAATTATCTTAAAGTAACACAATTCCCTGTGTTTAATCGGTGTGAAAGCTATCCCTGTGAACAATTTTGTTAAGTTAAAACTGGATATTGTTGTTTCACAAATAGCGCCACCTAGAGTTTGAAAAATAAATTTAAATAAATTGAAATGAACAACACTTTTTTTGTCAAGTTATTGAGAAATGAAATTTGTTTACTCCATTTACATTGTTGTTGTTGCATAAATAACAACAGTAAAGTTCTACGTGCTGTTTGGTGATAATTGGTTTTACAATTAAAGGACCACAGTCGTGCGACACGGTGCTCGATATGAGTTCTTTGCATGTAAAATATGTTGTTCATTTCACACGAAATTTTAATGCACGCTGGTGATTGTTGTACAATTTCGTGACTTTATTGCATGGCTGAGTTTCGAGTCTAATTCGTAATATAATTTTCTGCCAATAACTGTCATGTCCACTGTGGAATTGTACACTACACAACAGTTCATTTGCGCGGTGATTCAAGTTATTTTCAACGTGTTTCAATGTTACATGATCTATATTAAGTAATCATTTGAAGCTAAAAACATGTGTGTGATTTCCCTTTGAATACAATTTTATAATTCTACACATGAACATGTACTTGCAAAAAAATACTGACAGGGGTGTGTAGCTGGTTGTTTGAAACCCTTATCACTTATCAGACAGATATATACTCAAATTGCCTACCCCTTTTCAGACAAACTTTGGATATTTGACACTTCCGATGATAGACTTTGCCGATCGAAATGAAGTTACAGAAAGAAAAAATCAGCTTCATTCTCCTGATTGTTTGATCACTCTAGAGACAGTCTTTGGAAAATATCGACACCTTTTCAGACAGAAATAATGAAAAAAAGAATACCCCTTTTCAGACAGACAGAGTAAAATAACATATCCCTTTTCAGACAGTGGTGAATTTTGGACCCTATTTGGCGGCACATATACATATAGCACTTCAATGGGGTTAAACCTCATGTTTGCTGACCTTAAAGCCAAACTGGGTTTCCTGTATACAGCCTGTGGGGGCGCTATTTCAATTTCACTCAATTTCAACCGCACACTGCCAACCACACACTTTCCGTGTGTGGTAGCGAAACATTTTCATTGCCCTCAATCAATTAGACTTTTTTTTTATTTTTGTTAGTTTGTATTTTTTGTTTTTTTTGTGCTTTGCAGTGGTTATTTATATATGAGTAGTGAGATTTTAATAATGTGTTTGAAGAACTGCCCTCGGGGCCAGCACTGAAACCATCAATATGCGGTTGGTGACTGTATATCTGCTATGCTTAGTAACAAAAGCAAACAACAAATATTTGTCACTTTAATATAAAATTAGTGGTTCAATAGAAAATACTTTTAAACAATTTTTTTTTTTTGAACTGTGTTTTATCTTGTAATTATTCTCCAATTTGATATTTTTCTGTTCTCTATGATACATTAGAGATTGTTATCAAGTATTTCTTTATTCAATTTCAGCTAGCTAACATAA